TTAATCTTTCTTCTGTTGTGGTTCGATCTTCCAGATTGAATTCTGGGATATAATATTCAACTCCAGACTTTGTCCCTACAATTAAGTTGCCCATTTTCTTAGTTTTTGAACTGTTATTTCTCTGTGTCTACATTTAATTGTACTGACATATCACTCCCTTAAGAACTTCTTGGAGATCTGGTCTGGTGCTGGTAAATTCTTTCAGGTTTTGTTTATCTGGGAATGTTGGTGTCTTTTCTTCCCAAATGAACGATAATCTTGCTGGGTACAGTATTCTCAGTTGAAATTGTTTTTCCCTTAACACTTTGAATATATTTTCCCCTTCTTTCCTCGCTCACATTTTTTTCCAATGAGCGGTCTGTTGTTAGTCTCATGGGATATCCTTTGTAGGTAACTTGCCAATCTCAGTATCTTGTCTTTGTCTATGGTTTTGGTCAATCTGGCTATAATGTGTCTTGGAGAAGATCTTCTTGGGTTGATTCTATTTGGGGTCCTCTGTATTTCTTGGGACTGAATCTTTATAGTATGTTCACTCTACTCACTGAGGTTTATGCCTAAAGTCAGACTTGAGTTCATGTATAGGTATATATCAGCTGCGCTTGCTATTGGAAATATTTAGACTAATTAAGTTCATTAGCAAATCAATTAACTGGGGGTGGGGGAGAGTCATAGAAAGCAACCGTGGATACCAGAGACAATGTGGGAGGAGGGTGGGATATGGCAGAGGGTGAGGGAATCAAGGATGGCAAAAAAAAAAAGTATACAAGACATAAGAAATGGAAAATTATTTGCTGAGAACATGTATGTTGATGTGCTTGATTGAGCCAATATACAGTGTATTTTGGATGGAAAATTCATGTTGTATGCTGTAATGATGTACAGTGAATTAATGTAAAAAATGAATTTAAAAAAAGAAAAAAAAGAAAATGTCATCATCTTGATTTGAGATGAAATAAGTCTGGACATAGAAAAAAAAAAGAAGTGGACATTTCTGTCTTGTTCTAGTTTGAAGTTGAAGAAGTTTCCACTTTTTCCCATTCAATATTATGTTAGCTGCAGGAATGTCACACATGGCCTTTATTTGGTTATGAAATGTATTTTCTATGCCCATTTTATTGACTCTTAGTCATAAAGGACTATTACATTTTATCAAATGCTTTTTATGTGTCAATATGATCACATTATTTTTCTCATTTCTTCTCTTAATGTGATCTATTACATTTGTTGTTTTATACATATTGAATCATGCTTGTATTCTAGGGATAAATCCTACGTGGTTGTAATGTTAAAAAACAAAAACAAAAACAAACTAACAAACAAAAAGTAACAGGGCACGTGTGTACGTGCTCAAAATCCTGAGAATGGAGGAGAGGGATTGCAAAAAGGCCACCCCACCTAGCAGGTGTTTCCTCACTTTCCTTCTCTCTCTCCCTCTGTTTCTCTCTGCACATGCATCCCTTTGCAAATCAAAAAAGAATAATACTTGATAAACACATATGTCTACTAATTTTTAAAAGAGTTATTTAATTTTACTTATTATTATTTTAAAATATACTATAGGACTCATGCACTCACCAGAGAGGGAGAAAGAAAAAGAGAAAGTGAGAAAGCAAGCCAGCAGGTCTGGGACTCGAACTGTGGTTGACAATGTGGGAATGTGGTGCCAGAACCGTCATGCCACCTGCTGGCCTCTCTGCCCACTAATTTACCTGTGGATATGACTGCTTTCATTCTATAATAACAGATGTGAGTAGTTGAAACAGAGACCATACGACAACAGAAAAAATGATGATCACCTACCACTTAACACAAAGATGTTATCAAACCATCTCTCAGGTGTAAGTGAATAGGAATTTTTAAGATTATAGTCCACCCTTCAATAGTATTATTAAAATCAAATTTAACAATTCTATAACTACAATAAGTTACAATCAAATCCAAATGTTTAAAAGAATAGTTACAGAAAAATAAAAGTGTTGAATGAGGAAAGATAGAAAATTATATACAAAGATGAAATCAGTAGAAATTAGAGTAATGATAAAGATTTCTCAGGAAGTCGAATGTTTACTTTTCTTTTCCAATTGAGTATGGTTAAGAAAGCCTTTAATCTTTTGACCAGCAGATGGCATGATGGTTATGTTGCTGGGGACCTTTAAAGTTGACCATGGTTCAAGTCCCAGACACGGCAACTTAAATGTCATGCTGGATGCATGTGTGTACATGCCCAGGATCCTGAGAGAAAAATAGAAGAGAAAGTTCTGGAGCGTGACTATCCCACCCGGGGGGGGGGGAGTTGCGCCATGCCCATCCCTGCTGGGGGGTGATTTTTCACTTTCTGTCTCTATGTCTCTCTCTGTCTGGCGAGCACAAAACATCTCTCTCTCAAAAAAAAAAAAAAACAAAAACAAAAGCCTTTAATCTTGACTGCACTAAACTGTCAAGGGTTAGAAGCCATGGGAACAATGAAGACAGTAAGAACACAGGGAAACAATCCTTGTTCTGATAACATCACTGAGTCACTGGAGGAGCAAACCAAAAACCCCAATATGCAGTGATCCAGAGAGAATGGGTTTGGTGTTAGCTGGAGCTAAAAGCATTCTTCCTAAATCAGTGAGGCAGATACTCTGGGGGTCCAGGTATTACATTACAGGCAGTCTGACTCACAGCAAAGGTGACATTTTCTTTAATGGGGCAGAAGTGAAAAACTTGGGAAAGAAAATGCTGAGCTCTTGTTCTTTCTCCAGATGCACCTCAGTGTATGCAGTGTCCAGCTCAAGAGTATCCAAACAGTGAGAGAAGTCGCTGTCTCCCCAAGAATCTAACCTTTCTGGGCTATGAGGACGCTTTGGGGATGGTTCTGGGCTTCACGGCTCTGTGCCTCTCTCTCGTGACAGTTGTGGTTTTTGGGGTCTTTGTGAAGCACCGAGACACTCCCATAGTCAAGGCCAATAACCGGGCTCTCAGTTTCATCCTGCTCATTTCTCTCCTCCCATGCTTCCTCTCCTCCTTCCTCTTCATTGGCCGTCCCAACACAGCCACCTGCATCCTCCAACAGGTCACATTTGCACTTGTGTTCACTGTGGCAATTTCCACGGTTTTGGCCAAAACCATGACTGTGATTCTGGCATTCAAGGCCACGATGCCCAGAAGAATACTGAGATACTTGCTGCTGTCAGGGGCCTCTAACGCTGTAATTCCCATCTGCTCCCTGATCCAAGTGATTATCTGTGCAATCTGGCTGGGATCCTCTCCCCCTTTTGTTGACACAGACTCGCACTCTGAGCCCAGAAGCCTCATCATCGTGTGCAACAAGGGCTCAGTCACTGCCTTCCACTGTGTGCTGGGCTACCTGGGCTCCTTGGCCCTGGGGAGCTTCACGGTGGCCTTCCTGGCCAGGAACCTGCCTGACACGTTCAATGAGGCCAAGTTCCTCACATTTAGCATGCTGCTGTTCTGCAGTGTCTGGGTCACCTTCCTGCCCTTCTACCACAGCACTAAGGGGAAGGTCATGGTGGCTGTGGAGGTCTTCTCTATCTTGGCCTCCAGTGCAGGGCTCCTGGGCTGCATCTTTGCCCCAAAGTGCTACATTATTCTGGTAAGACCCAGTAAGAACTCTCTGAAAGGTTTTAAAAAGAAGAAATGTCAGAGTAAATAAGTATCCTGCCATTATACTTCACAAATCTCAATCACATTTTTTAGGGATTTAAGGAAAAACCAACAAGATTTTACGGTTCAATATTATAAAGTAACTGAAAATAATTTACCTTTATTCAACCACCTCCTTTAAAGTCTATGTAAAACTAAACTCAGCCAGCCATCTAAGTCTACAAACTCAAATGGAATCTCAGCTTAAAGGCTCTCCTTGAAATTTTAGTACTAAAACAATTTTTCAAATTTTGGGCATCTTTTTAATTTCTTTACATATTTGTTATCCTTACATTTTCTATAAGACTTTTGATTACGTAAGGTCAATAAAGTATCTACTTTCATATCTGGTTTATTGACTTGCATTTGTTCTCTTTTTCTAGGACAGCTGATCTAAAACTTTGTCAGTTCATTGTTCTTTTTATATCACGAACTAGTGACTACATTGATGTTCTCTATGGCTCTAGCATTCTATATTTTATTTATAGTCGGTCGAAATTTCTATCTGCTAGGTTTAGGGTTAGCTTACTACTCATTCTGTGTTCCCTTGAGGTATAGGTACAGTTATTGATTTGATAGGTTTTATCCTTTTCTGAAATATCTTGAAGAAAATTTTAGGCTTAAATTTTTCCCAGAGCAATGATTCCATGACTTCCCACAAATTTTTATATGCTTGAAATTTCCTTTATTTTCCAATTTCACTTGCGTATTCTTTTTCCTGCATGTCAGTGACACAGAGAGAAAGATAGTGGGAAAGAAGACAGAACACACTACCCATTGAGTTCCAATGTGAGAATCCACCCCCAGTCTCAACAGTCCCAGCTCATGAGCACACCCATGTCTGGCATACTAAGAAAGGTCTCCAAAAAGAAACCCAGAACTTGCGATATGACTCAGCATTGCTAATCACAGCATTTTACTCCTTTGCCACCATCTGACCCTCGTGTATTCTTTAAATCATTGGTGGTTTATGAGTATGTTGCTTAATTTCTTCATAGCTGAATTGTTCAACAATTTTTATTTCATTTTTATTTTTGTAAAGCAAACATTGCAGAACACTTTTTTCTACAGAGAGATTTATATTCCTTAGTTAAATGTATCTTCCCTTGGCCCCTCCCTCCCACCCCTCTCCATTAGCAATCTCTGGTATCTACACATAACCTCTGTACTATCACATCTTCAGATATTTCCATTTCTGTCAAGGAGTGCAAACATTCAGCACATATTGAATGGGCATATATTTTCTCTTTCAACATCTGGCTCACTTCACTTGACATTAAGTCCTCTAATCATGGCTATCTCTTCTGGGGGATACTTTCTTGCTTTCTGTCTCTTTCTTTCTCAAGCAAGCAGACAGATTATACCAAAAATCTCTTTCAAAAATAAAGGAAAAAAAACACTCATAAAGGCACTTGCACATCCATGTTTATTGCAGCATTATACACAATTGCTAAGACATTGAATCAGCATAAGTGTTCAAATGCTGATGACGGGGTTGAATGACTGTGGAACATATACACTACAGAATATTACTCAACATATGAAACAGTAAGGTCCTATCACTTGATTCAAATTAGAATTAAAAACATAGTTCCAATCAGCAGTTACAGACCTTTGTGAATCTGGGCCTCCATTTCTGGCACACCTGTGCTTCCCAAAGTGCCAAAGATAGAAGATCACAACCAGGATATACCACTATGAAAAAGAATAGTCACACTTGCAGCTGTTTAAGTTTCTCAGACCCACTCTGGCCCCACATCCATCACCCCACAATCAAAATAACATTATGCCCTGAAAGGAAACAAGGCTCTGACTGGTAGACGGTCCAGGAAAGGCAAGGTTGATGAGGCCAGGGGAGAAACATCACTGTCCATGGGAAACTGTCCATGAGATGCCTAAAGCTTTCCCAGGAAAGAATGGAAAAAGGCCAAGAAGAAGATCACAAAAGACTATTTGGTAATACCCCTTACACTACATTTTTCCCCCTTTTCACTTAACATCTGACACACCATGGATTTATTTTCCTTCACTCTTTACTCTCCCTACCCCTCCACACTAAAACACATGACCTGTAAAGGCAGATAATTTTGCCTGCTTTGTTCACTCCATACCCACAGAATCTAAGTCAGTACCTTAGTAGGGACTCAGTGGTATGGGCTCAGTGAATGGTTGAGGTATACATACATGAATACACACTATATCTAGAAGGAGAGAAGAGAAAATTTTAACTCTGGGCAAAAAGACTGGAGCAGAGGAATGGGAGTGAGAACATATGACCAATTTTGTACTACTGAAGTTTCCCTATACATGTATGTATATGTGGCCTCCTCCAAGCAAATCTTAAAGTCAAAGAGCCAGATTTGTATCTACCAACTTGGAAAAAGAAGTGGGAAAATTATGCATGCATTTTAAAGAGAGATTATGAAGATCAAAAAATAAAGAGCCCAAAATGTGGGTATATTGAGGTTCTAAGAGGCAGTGTGAATGAGGACAAAGGAGAAAAAAAGTTTAGAGTTTGCCTCCTCCTACCTGAACTGTCTACGAATGCATATCTTCGAGGCTGACTTCTCAGTCTTGGTCCTTTTTTATTTGTTTATTTTTTCTTTATTTTTAATCACATATATTGTGCACTACATTTCTTTTTCCAGCATGATTACCATGCATATCAGTCAAGGCAAAGACATTACTATGCACATCATCATCATCAAATAGCTTTTCATCATTTTTTCCAGATTGTTATTCATTCTCATTTTTTTAAAACATTCAATCATTGTATCATTTGGATTGTAGAAAAAATTTACTCAACATGACACAGTCTTGTTCTCTTGAGCCTGTGAATCTAACTTATTCCACACCCAGGTACTTCCTTATCTTCACCCACGAAACCAGGTACATTTAGCCCCGCCCTCACTCAGTCCTGCCCACTCAGTTCCATCCATCATACCTGGAGCCCACCATAGGCCCCTCATCCGGAAGTGGTCACTGCCCACATCCCCAGCTTTCTAGCTTGGCCCCTGCCTACAACTTCCGTGCTCACATAAGCCCCACTCACCAGGCGTGGAACCGCCCACAAGCCCCGCCCCGGAACTGGTCTCTCACTGTCAATCCCCGCCACCAGGCCTGGCCCCGCCCACAGCCTGGCTCCTTGGCCTGATCTCGCTCCTGAGGCCTATCTGCCCCTCACCTCGTTGGTCCCACCTAGAGCCCAACTTTGTACTCACTGAGCAAACGAGAAAACCTCTGCCAAGGATGGGGTGTTCGGTCACAACTCCAGCTTCTCCGCCTCAGTGAGGAGCTCGCAGCCGCCAACTCCATGCCGGAAACGGAAGAAAGGAGCGCCCGCCGGAATTGGAAGAAAGGAGAACCCGCCGGAAACGGAAGCGCTGGGTGATAGTGTAGTAGAAGCTATTGGTGGCCACTGACCCTGTTTGTGTGCGGGAGCTCGTTGAGTTCTGTGCGGTTTAGGGACTCAGCCAGCCGCGGGGATAGTGAACCGCTGGTGGGCGGAGTTCTGGTTGGAGTCCAAGGTGGGGCGAGTGGCGCGAGCACTCCCGGCCCATTGTCCTTTCATCCGGCTCAGGAGCCCCGTTACCTCCTTGGTGGGGCCTCAGGCTGCTGGCTTAGGTCCGCATGAAGCCCATGTTTCCTCAACCGAGCCCAACGCCGCTGTCAGTTCCTCGGAACCTCACACACACGCACACACACACACAAACCCACCATCGCGTTCACTCAGGGCAGTTCTGTGCCTGGAGGGACTTTTTGTCTAGAGACATACTTGATTTGTCACCAAAATTGACAGGAAGGAAGGGGACAGTGCTGCTGTTATGCAGCGGGTGGAAGCCAAACCTGAGGCTGACGATCCTACAATGCACAGAGCAACATCCCAGCTTGATCCCTGAATCATCTGACTTCTGATGGTGGTGGCCAGATTAGGAGACCCTGATAGAAGTCGTGAATGTCTCTGAAGTCCTGAATACACTGGAAATTGCTTAGGATTTTACGAAAGCCTTTCTATGTCTCTGGGTGAGAAGACAAGTGTAAAGCTTCTAGAATCATTGTGAAATCTCGCTCCAGCCAAATGAGTTGGGCAATTAAAATGCACACATCATTGATGTTCTTTTTCCCAGTAAAGAGCAGGTAGGTTGAATAAGAATCAGTTAACTCCACAATCTCAGACAACAGATGGAGTCATTTCACTTTATATCAGTAAATAATTTTAAGTACATGAATTATCTCTTTATCCAAGAACTGTGTCACTCCCTATATAAAAATTACTCAAAAGAGATTTTCTTTAAAAGAAAAGAAAAGTGATATTCAAGTTTTCAAGCTCAGATTTTCATTGATACCAGCCACAAGTCCCACCCATTCAAACTAGTCCATGGATATCTGAGTACTATGTGGAACGTGCCACAATGAGGTTTTAGTAGCCTCCCCTGTGTAGAATAACTGCTAATGGAATTTTCTGTGTTCACGTTGTATTATCCTAGAGGAGTCACTAAATGTGAGAGTGTTTTAAAAATTACTTATTTTGGACCAGGAGATGACATAATGGTTACGTCACTGAACTACCACATAGGCAACTGTGGTTCAAGTCCCAGACCTGGCGGCTTAAACCTCACACTAGGCATGTGTGTGTGTGAGTGTCCAAAATTCCCAAGAGGAGAATGGAGGAGAAGGGATTGCAGCATAGCCATCACCTCCCTTGGGATATGGGGGGGGAGGTGATTTCTCACTTGCTGTCTCTGTCTCTGCCAAGCGTATGTGCCCTATAGCAAAAATATATCTCTAAAAAATGTTATTTCTTCGATGAATTATATTCAGGGGAAATATCTTAATACACTCTAAAGTACATGTGATTGTGTGTGTAATTAAGCCAGTAAATTGAGATATACGCAAATAAGCACACAAAATAAACACATAAACAGTAGGGCCAGCCTGGTAACCTAGTGGTTAAGGGAGCTATATCTGATATGGCCCACTGTAGTTTGAATATTTGCACCAACAGGTTGA